TCTGAGTAAACTACACTTTGTTCTGTGGGTTACCTCACAAAGGTCGGAGTAAACTACACTTTGTTCTGTCGGTTACCCCACAAAGGTCTGAGAAAACTACACTTTGTTCTGTGGGTTACCCCACAAAGGTCTGAGTAAACTACACTTTGTTCTGTGGGTTACCTCACAAAGGTCCTTCAATGTAGTTGATCATGGTTCTTTTCGATGACTTACCTGCCCCTCTTGAGGATGGTTGACCAGACAATGGCTGTCAGGACATATACAACAAAGAGACCAAAGAAGAGTTTAGGTATTGGCATTCCTCCCGCAGACAGGAAGTTCTTATCATTGGCCTCTGTGATTCCCAACTGTAAAACCAGCAAGTAGGTCGAATTTCATTAACAGTCATACTGAATTTTCATTTAAAAGTAATCAAAATACTAGAATGTGATTTTGAATTTGATAAAAATAAATCCCATCTATTTCATCAGTATTACATTGAAGACTCAGGTTTGTCAAAGACTAAAGTCACATCAAGAGGGACTCATTGTACATAACGTTTATCACTACTTTGTGTATGTTAGACAGCACTGACCATGAGGTGGACCTCGGTCATCTCCTTGGGGTAGTTGTAACAGTTGTGGAAGTACAGGTTGTACAGACCTTCCTCTTCATCTGTGTTAATGGCCACGGCAAACTGTACAACAAGTAAGACATGATAGCAATACACTAAACTTAACATAAGGAGAAAAGGATCTTGGCACCCACCCTGAACTGATCTTTATCAGATCTACAAAAGAGGACCTTTCACCTTCTTGGCTCTTCACTTTCCTCACAGGTACACACACATACTATCACCCAGTCCCATGTTAGAAATCCTGATCAGGAATCTTGTACATTAACTTAAACCTTGTAATGTCATATGTTATTCGTCACTATGATAACGATATGCAAAATGCTATAAATGTGTAATTCTTACGTTATAAAAAGTGCTGTCATTGATGGATAAATTATCTTTAAGGCCAGGGGTTTTTATAACAAGAGGGAATGTAAATATGAATTATTGATAACAAGATTGCTAACAACATTCAAGATGGCCACCTATTGGCCTCTTTGGATTTGGTATTTAAAGATTAATTATTCTCTGTGTATGGGGTATTTATATAAATACTAGTACCCCATACAGATAATATTTCGTCTATAAATATCCAATGCACACAGATTAATTAATCTATAAATACCCCATAGAGAGATTAATTCATTTATAAATACCCCATACAGAGATTAATTCATCTATAAATACCCCATACAGAGATTAATTCATCTATAAGTAGCCCATATACAAATAATAGTTCATCTATAAATACCCCATAGAAAGATTGATTAATCTGGTATAAATAACCCACACACAGAATATGATTCATCAATAAATAACCTGTACACAGAGAATAATTCATTCCCAATAATTCCCAAACTATAAATACCCCCAAATCACATTATAATCAATCTGGTGTAAATACCCCCAAAACAAATTATAATCAATCTGTAAATACCCCCAAAACACATAATCAATCTGTAAATACCCCCAAATCACATTATAATCAATCTGGTGTAAATACCCCCAAAACACATTATAATCAATCTGTACATACCCCCAAAACACATATTATAATCAATCTGTAAATACCCCCAAAACACATTATAATCAATCTGTAAATACCCCCAAATCACATTATAATCAATCTGGTGTAAATACCCCCAAAACACATTATAATCAATCCGTAAATACCCCCAAATCACATTATAATCAATCTGGTGTAAATACCCCCAAAACACATTATAATCAATATGTAAATACCCCCAAACAAACATAATAAAAAATCCCCAGTAATCAGAAACAATCATAATAAAAAATCCCTAGTAATCAGATTTACAATCTTTCTAGATCCCATCATGATCACCTATGCATTATCAATTAGTTCTACGTACATAATCAATTATAATAGAAAAGAATCTTACAAAGGCAGAATATTCGCCATCTTTTGTCTTGTACATCTTAATGGTTTTCTGCATTGAACTATCCTGTGTTTTAGCTGAAGTATTTCCTGGTTTGTCTGATGAAGTAGGTTTACTATCCCCTGGTTTGTCTGATGAAGTAGGTTTCCCATCCCCTGGTTTGTCTGATGAAGTAGGTTTACTATCCCCTGGTTTGTCTGATGAAGTAGGTTTCCCATCCCCTGGTTTGTCTGATGAAGTAGGTTTACTATCCCCTGGTTTGTCTGATGAAGTAGGTTTCCCATCCCCTGGTTTGTCTGATGAAGTAGGTTTNGGTTTGTCTGATGAAGTAGGTTTCCCATCCCCTGGTTTGTCTGATGAAGTAGGGTTTCCATCCCCTGGTTTGTCTGATGAAGTAGGTTTCCCATTCCCTGGTTTGTCTGATGAAGCAGAAGCCTTGGCTGAAGATTTAGGAGGATGTGCAATACTCATTGTTGTTGTGGATGGTTTTGGAATACTGGCTTCCCGTTTGGCTTTATTACGACCAACCATTTGTTCGTCTCCAAGGAGGACCTTCGGCTTAGACATGACGTGGCGGTTAAGGCGTCTGTTGATGAAATCTACATCATCTGTGATCTGTAGTGTCTTAATGCCCTTTCCTCTTCTTATCAATGTCATACTGCAAAATAAATGTTATCAAGTCAGCAATATAATAAGGTCACACGTTCTGATAAACATTATCAAACTTTCCTATAAACAACTTAAAATTGCTTCATCAACAATGTCTAAATTTTACATCACAATGTTAAACAATTAGATTAACAATCAACAATGTCAATTTGCACATTCATTGAAATCTTGATGTTTGTTATGAACAAGAAGTTATAAGATGGGGTTAGAAGTGATCAAGTGGGTTATGATGTTATAAGATGGGGTTAGAGGTTATCAAGTGGGATTACAAGTTATTTGCTATGTTAAGAGGTTATCAACTTGGGTTATAAGTTGTCAGCTGAGATAAGATATTGTCACCTTGGGTTGAGCATTGTCAGCAGGGGTTAGGCATTGTCATCTGGGGTAAAAGGTAGTCAGCAGGGGTTAGAGTTCATGAGCCTGGGTTAATAGCCATCAGCAGGGGTTATAGAGTTCATTAGCCTAGGGTAGTAGCCATCAGCAGGGGTTAGAGGTCATTAGCCTGGGTAAGTAGCCATCAGCAGGGGTTAGAGTGAGTCTGGGTTAGTAGCCATCAACAGGGGTTAGAGTTCATTAGCCTGGGTTAGTAGCCAGCAGCAGGGGTTAGAGTTTATTAGCCTGGGTGAGTAGCCATCAGCAGGGGTTAGAGTTCATTAGCTTGGGTAAGTAGCCATCAGCAGGGGATGGAGTTCATTAGCCTGGGAAAGTAGCCATAAGCAGGGGTTAGAGTTAGTCTGGGTTAGTAGCCATCAGCAGGGGTTCGAGTTCATTAGCCTGGGTAAGTAGCCATCAGCAGGGGATGGAGTTCATTAGCCTGGGTAAGTAGCCATCAGCAGAGGTTAGAGTTAGTCTGGGTTAGTAGCCATCAACAGGGGTTAGAGTTCATTAGCCTGGGTTAGTAGCCATCAGCAGTGGTTAGAGTTTATTAGGCTGGGTTAGTAGCCAGCAGCAGGGGTTAGAGTTTATTAGCCTGGGTGAGTAGCCATCAGCAGGGGTTAGAGTTCATTAGCTTGGGTAAGTAGCCATCAGCAGGGGATGGAGTTCATTAGCCTGGGAAAGTAGCCATAAGCAGGGGTTAGAGTTAGTCTGGGTTAGTAGCCATCAACAGGGGTTAGAGTCCATTAGCCTGGGTTAGTAGCCATCAGCAGGGGTTAGGGTTCCTTAGCCTATGGTAGTAGCCATCAGCAGAGGTTAGAGTTCATTAGCCTAGGGTAGTAGCCATCAGCCGGGGTAAGAGTTAGTCTGGGTTAGTAGCCATCAGCAGGGGTTAGAGTTCATTAGACTGGGTAAGTAGCCATCAGCAGGGGATGGAGTTCATTAGCCTGGGAAAGTAGCCATAAGCAGGGGTTAGAGTTAGTCTGGGTTAGTAGCCATCAGCAGGGGTTAGAGTTCATTAGCTTGGGTAAGTAGCCATCAGCAGGGGATGGAGTTCATTAGCCTGGGTAAGTAGCCATCAGCAGGGGCTAGAGTTAGTCTGGGTTAGTAGCCATCAGCAGGGGTTAGAGTTTATTAGCCTGGGTTAATAGCCAGCAGCAGGGGTTAGAGTTTATTAGCCTGGGTGAGTAGCCATCAGCAGGGGTTAGAGTTCATTAGCCTGGGTAAGGAGCCATCAGCAGGGGATGGAGTTCATTAGCCTGGGTAAGTAGCCATCAGCAGGGGATGGAGTTCATTAGCCTGGGTAAGTAGCCATCAGCAGAGGTTAGAGTTAGTCTGGGTTAGTAGCCATCAACAGGGGTTAGAGTTCATTAGCCTGGGTTAGTAGCCAGCAGCAGGGGTTAGAGTTTATTAGCCTGGGTGAGTAGCCATCAGCAGGGGTTAGAGTTCATTAGCTTGGGTAAGTAGCCATCAGCAGGGGATGGAGTTCATTAGCCTGGGAAAGTAGCCATAAGCAGGGGTTAGAGTTAGTCTGGGTTAGTAGCCATCAGCAGGGGTTAGAGTTCATTAGCCTGGGTAAGTAGCCATCAGCAGGGGATGGAGTTCATTAGCCTGGGTAAGTAGCCATCAGCAGGGGTTAGAGTTAGTCTGGGTTAGTAGCCATCAACAGGGGTTAGAGTTCATTAGCCTGGGTTAGTAGCCATCAGCAGGGGTAAGAGTTCATTAGCCTAGTGTAGTAGCCATCAGCAGGGGTAAGAGTTAGTCTGGGTTAGTAGTCATCAGCAGGTGTTAGAGTTAGTCTGGGTTAGAAGCCATCAGCAGGGGTTAGAGTTCATTAGCCTGGGTTAGTAGCCATCAGCAGGTGTTAGAGTTCATTAGCCTGGGTTAGTAGCCATCAGCAGGGGTTAGAGTTTATTAGCCTGGGTTAGTAGCCATCAGCAGGGGGAAGAGTTCATTAGCCTAGTGTAGTAGCCATCAGCAGGGGTAAGAGTTAGTCTGGGTTAGTAGCCATCAGCAGGGGTTAGAGTTCATTAGCCTTGGTTAGTAGCCATTAGCAGGGGTTAGAGTTTATTAGCCTGGGTTAGTAGCCATCAGCAGGGGTTAGAGTTCATTAGCTTGGGTTAGTAGCCATCAGCAGGGGTTAGAGATCATTAGCTTTGGTTTGTGGTCGCCAGCGGGCTGAACTTACTCAAGTGTCTTGAAATTCATCTTGAAGAAGATAATAGAGACGGAGCTGTCAGTGTACTGTTTTGCTGGTGGTGACTGTAGGATACACTTGCCCTGGTTGTCCTCCTGTGGGAATAAACAGTGGATCACCCTTCTGCAGACAACATTCACAGAGAATCATGACTAGCAAACCAACTTTAAGTTTCCATTTTTTAAGAAAATAAATATGTCTCTGAATAAGTAAAGATAAACTGTCAAAACTGCAATATTTTTGCTTCACTAAATTTGTGCTCTGTGGTCATTTGCCTAACAATGAATTCCAAATTAGGCCAAATAAAAAGATGTCTGTTTAGGGTTCCCGACATACCCTAGGTTTTTACCCCCAACCCAAAACTTTTTGATGGAAAACAAAAAAAAACACGCTGATTTTCGAATTTTAGAAGGTTCCTTGCCTTTCAAAATGGCTTCCAGCTCCGTGTTGGCACTAAATGTCATCATATGGAGCACAATCTGCCTCAAAATGAACCTTGTTTATGTAATTCTTTGTTTTACACACAATAGTAGGGTCATAATCACATGACCACAAGGTACATAAAAATATACAAAAAAAAAATCAAAAATCAAAAACAAATCCGACCTACCTACCTTTTTTTTTTGCCCAATCAACCCTAAACAGACTATAATTTTTTTTTGGCCTTAGTCATTTTCTTTTAGATATCTAATATCTCAGCTATAAGTTATATCATAATAGAGTAGAATGAGTATCCAAGTCATCGTTCTCAGCTAAAAGTTATATCATAACAGGGTAGAATGAGTATCCAAGTCATCGTACTCAGCTAAAAGTTATATCATAACAGGGTAGAATGAGTATCCAAGTCTTCATACTCAGCAATAAGTTATATCATAATAGAGTAGAATGAGTATCCAAGTCATCATACTCAGCTATAAGTTATATCATAATAGGGTAGAATGAGTATCCAAGTCATCGTACTCAGCTAAAAGTTATATCATAATAGGGTAGAATGAGTATCCAAGTCATCATACTCAGC